TATATTAATTTGATCCATGATTACATTGGCTCAACATCCGAGTACAAATTTGCAACAGGAATAATGCTACTTCGCGAACAGCTCGCAAGTAGCCCATGGCATGAGTGAGATGACCCATCGGGTTAACTCGTCTGCCCGTATATGAATAAAATGAGAACACACTCCCTTTCGAGTTATGACAAACTGTCCACCAACGTAATCAGATCTTATACAGTCATGAGTCAGCGAGTGCGACAAAATGGCACAAACTGACAAGGAGTGCTGAGACATTCGGCGACCTTACAGGCTCTTGGACCTTTCTGAACCTGAGCCTTCCAAGTAATTTGTTGAAAGGTTGTTGGTTTGCGCCTTGGAGAAGTGTTGGAGCTACAATGTAGGTGTCAGGTCGCCGAATGTTTCAGTACTCCTTGTCAGTTTTGTGCCATTTTGTCGCACTCGCTGGCCGTATAAGATCTGGTTAAGGGGGCACATCACCCAAAAATTTCATATGGCATTCAATTGACCGTAACTTTGGTGTTTCTCAGTGGATTTGAGTGAAATTTTGACCACACACTCCTGGCACTATGCTGGCCCTCAGGACATGATTTACAAGTTCTTGCGCCTCACTGACATGACAGGCTTTCCAGGCCGGAAAAACTCAAATTTCCGGCATAGTGCTACGGTGTGCGAGCCACCCAGGAGCCAAACAAATGCATTTACATTTTTTTCACATTTTCGTGCCCATTCTGTCCGTGCGCGGGACCCAAACCTAAAACAAGTCCAGAAGCAGCCATGGGTGGTGGGGTAGGGCCCCTCAACGTGGCCCTGGAATCTGTCACAACGGAACGAGTGGGCGTTCTCTCACGGACTCCCACAGACCCAAGTCAATTTTTGAATTTTTTTAGGTTTAGCACGTGCTACGAGGTCGTACCTTTGATACAACATCCAGTGCTGGGACCTCCACAGCAAGCCATTTCCACAGCGCTGCACACCAAATCCAGGATGCCCTCAGAAACCGGCAAAGACTGCCACTCACGTTTCACTACTGCCTAGTACTGAATCCTACCTGACTTCTTGACACGACTCAAACTTGCCAAAGTCACTAAATCAACGTCAACTACAATAATCAAGCCACATATCTGCAACGTCACGAGGGTGCTGGCAAAAGTCCTGCTGCACGGCGGCGGGCTTTAACGTGATTTTTTGGACTTTTTTGGACTTGGGGCAAAATTCTGCACACTTTCGCGTGTTTCCATAATACGACAAGTTGCGCACGGTCTGCTCACATTCAAATACAGTGCTGCCAACAAATGACAGCATGCAACAAAAACATCTTTCCTTGCAAGGGCACATTTTCGGCCATACTCTCGTACGGCTGGTCAGATAGGGACACAGTTTTCAGAGAATTTGCAGCTATTCATGCTCTTTCAACTGACGTAGCACTCAATATGAATTTACAAATTCGATTTTTCAGCGAATTTTGGGTGATGTGCCCCCTTAAGTTGGTTGACAGTTTGTCATAACTCGTAACATTTTGTCCTTTTCCTTTCTTCATCATAACTATTTTGGCTCACCATTCGAGTTCAAATTTACACTCCCTTTCAATTATCAATATTCCAGGCAAATCTGCCTCGACTCCATCAATGTCCCTTAGCAGGTAAGTACTTGTACGAGGACTAGTTTCAATTTTACTACAACAGATTATTGTTACCAACTGTTGTCAGGGGAAATGCAGATATTCCAAAGTTCATTTTTTGGCGATTCACAATGTCAAGCCAAGCTCTCCTGGTCTGGGAAATAACATATCTCCAGCTTCGGCATTGGAAAGTTCACATGTTTCTAAAAACGATCTATCTGGTTAGGGGGCGTCATCATCAGGGTTTCTTGAAGTCATTCGCCTTGATCGAAAATTTGATTGCTCTGTAAGATGTGGAGTCAGCGACTTTACTCAGCACAATCATGACCAAGCGATAATAAACGCCTTTTCCTGCACGTTGTGGTAATTGGTACTTGGTTCGTCTGTTTGTCGAGTGTTTATATGATTTCTTTTACACTGACCTGTTGACGAGTACGAGTGTATTGTCAGGCCCCACAGTCCGCAGGTGTGCTGCAACAAACAGGTTTGTGTTAAAAAAATTAGGTTTGTGTGTGTGTTTGGGGGAGGGGGGGGGGTACGTGTGTTTGGGGGAGGGGGGGGTACGTGTGTTTGGGGGAGGGGGGTACGTGTGTTTGGGGGAGGGGGGGGTACGTGTGTACACCAAGCCAGTTGTATTGTGCAACTCTGCAAGTAAGCTCGTGACCAACAACGCTACATAATACATGTACGATACATGTATTGTATAGTTTACTGTTGAAATGTAACGTTAATGTGTTACTGAAATACATGTACATGTACATGACTATGTGTATCTGAAATACATGTACATGTACATGTGTATGTGTATGTGTATCTGAAATACATGTGCATGTATGTGTATGTGTATGTGTATGTGTATCTGATATACATGTACAGTCAACTTCGCTATTAACGACTGCGGATATAACGACAATTCGCGAATAACGACATAATTTTCATGCTCAGGGCAAAGTCCCATCCCACTGTGACACATAAAATGAGACTTCGGGTATAACGACACTTTGCGAATAAGGACACTTTTCTGATGCCCCGCCGAGTGTCGTTATAAGCGAAGAAATTAGTTGACTGTACGTAGTAGTCGGATATACATGTAGCATAGGATCAAGCCATCGTCTACACCACTTCAGATCTCATTCGATGGATACTGGTGATACTGAGGGTCAGCGCAGCACCTGTACACACTTTCTACATGTACATTCAACCCGCAAGCACAGGAATAGTTCATGCAAGTGCAGCATCTGCGTTGTTTGGCTACGGTGGAGTCATAACGCGGACATGAGATACCCGGATGGTGTCAGACACAGCACACACGCACATACAATCATACGAACAACACAACAACTCATTACTGTCCGCGCGCACAAGCACACGCACAAGAACACGCACGAATGGTTGCTAGTACATGTACAATTATGTACATGTATAGCGCAATGTCCAAATGATTGGCGTGACTTCGTATCGCACATGATAATGATGGGATGGATACACGTCACGTGTACATGTACATGTATGTGTCTCGATATCTCGTGTCTTCATGAATATGACCTGCGTGTACACGTACATGTAAAATACTCATGAACATCTAGAGTACCTTTGTCGAAACAATCTATAGTATTTTCCCGGCCCACGAAACCCTCATGCATCATGACAAGACCAACTTTCGTGGAACTAAGAGACCAGCAGCTAGCTGATTGCAACCTTGCCATTATGCTGTGATCACGAGAAAAGCACATCGGTGGTTCTCAGACTCAGTAGAATGTTATGTAAATCCGGTGTCCAGGCTTGCAGCTGGATGTACACTGACATTGTACAGGTAGTGAGCAGTACACGCATCACACATCAAGAGTGCATAAACATAAAATGTGCACATTGCTCTCGTTGTTGATGTTTGCAACTTTGCATCCTACAAACCTCGCATCGCGAGAGGCCCTTAAACGGCGCCTGGATTACTTGGAACTCTAACTCGCACACACATGGCCCACCATTATTGATGTTGTTTGAAGTTTGAAGAGAACCATGGGACAAAATAGCCAAGATGAGAGAAAGAGAGAGGGGGGGGGGGGCTGCAGAAAGCTAGAGTGCTATTCTTTCTGCTGCCCTTCTTACACACGGATTCGGCGAAGGTCTATTTCTGGAGATAACAAACCACAGCGTCGGCGAAGATCGATGTCGGAGTGTCCTTCATGCTATTTCTTTGCCACCAATGGATGTACATGTACATGTATGCCATTGCTAGGTAAAGACAGAAAGTAGGCTGCAAGCAGCCCAGCAGTTTCTCTTCTTGTTGTTCCTGGCCATTGTGTCCAGATGTTGGAGTCAAGCAAGCCGATCCAGAGGAGGCAAACGGCAATGAATGACTCTGTCAGCTCTGCGTACACGCCACATTCAGCCACATTGTCTTCCAATATGATGGGTTTGTTTTTGAAGATCCTTCTCAAAGAGTATAAATAGCTAGAAAAGTTTTCATTTCGGTAGACAGCTACTTTCGAACGCAAAGTTGAGCCAAGCAAGAGAGAGAGAGAGAGAGAGAGAGAGAGAGAGAGAGAGAGAGAGAGAGAGAGAGAGAGAGAGAGAGAGAGAGAGAGAGAGAGAGAAGTAAAAAGGAGCAGAAGAGGAGGTTTACCACTGTGTGTACAGTTCATTACTGTACCCAGAAGGAAAAGCAAACGACAATTTGCAAAGCAAATAAGAAACACTGTGCTTGTCATCCACGAAGACAATGGCTCACATCAGAGGCTACGGCTCCGGGACAATCAGGCCGCTCTTTCGTTTCGTCTTGTTGGCGGCTACCTTCCATGCTCTGCTGTGGCATATGGCCGCGCACGCATCAACACCGATATCAGGGGACGGTCTTGTGAGGTTGCGTTTCGACGTGAGGCTCGACGACAGTTTGGACGAGAATGATGCCATTCTCTCTCCGCAACAGTGTCCAAATATTGGGATGCTGCATCGAATGGTGTCCGTGATCCGTCGCTCGTCTCGCCTCCTCTATACTGGAACAGGAAAACGCGCCTTCATTGACCATGTGAGAATTTTCCTGCCTTTCCACTGGCCACGCGACAACTTACCAGGGAACGCTCTCCAATGCGCCGGGGAAGCTGATCTCGGTAACCATGCGGTTACCATGGTGTCCGGAAGCAAGATGGCGGGTGATGTGTGTGGTGAAGCCGGAGACTTCGTCTTCGTAGCGCATGACGATGAACATCCAGGCAGCGGAAATCATTCGATGGACAAACAAACTCTCCGAGTGCCTCTCTCCCTTATCACCAATTGCAACGTAAGTACAATGTAGTGTTTTGTCCCTGCACTCGTTTACTCCTGCAGTACAATGCTACCGATAAAGTTACTTTACGCGCCAGGGAGTCGGTCTGACTTAGTTCTTGCATCCGCAAGAACACCGCCATATCCTCAAGGCGCAGATGTAATGCAGTGCAGATCCTAAAATAGCAAATGTTTTGGGGAGCAATGGTAGAAAGGAAGCAGAAATTCTCCTGTTTCTTCAAAGTGCCTAAAGATATTTTCAATTCTTAGACCCTCCGTCATAGGGTTTCTACCCATCGCTGCAATTTGGATATGCAGCAACTTCGGCTGCCGCTGGAATGCTGCAGAACGGAATTGCTATGACAGCATTGATCTAGCGGTGGTTGGCTGCTAGCTGTGGAGTGTTGAAGGAAGATGTCTTGCGGGCCAACGTGTGGTTATCATGGTAATGCTATCTCGGGGTTTGCAAGTATTTTACTCACTTGGTCAGGGTGGAGGCCAGACACTGAATCGAAGATCGGGGAGTCAGTGTTTCAACCAGGCCTCTCACATGCACATGTGCATATAATTCGGCGATAATCACGCAGCTAAATACAGAGCGCCAGAACAAAAGCTCACATGAATTTTAAAAGGATTCCATTTTGAAGTCGAATTCAGCTCGAGTCATAATTCAACTATCCAACATTCACAACCTTTTCAAGTTGCCGGTAATAATAATTCTTAGCTTTAAAAGTACACAAATGGACTGCATGTATGCCCATGGTTTTTTCTCACGGCATTTCATGACTGTTCTTGCATGCAGGTGTCCTGCCCAGATCCAGCAAACATCTTCCTAGCTATTCTAGCCAAGCTACGCTGGGGACCGGCGTTTGTGAGCAGCTCAAGTGCTGCACAGAGTTCAGAATCCACTGCAGGTGTTCTGTCTCCCATCTTGAAGAGCAGCATCTCTGGGTCATACGAGGTGAGAGGCCTAAGAATCGCCGTGTTGTCCCTCGCTGGATGGTAAACACTTGGTTTATAGATCCTGAACCCTCAGATGCAATTTTCTTCACAAACCCCAGTCCCAACATTTTCTACAACATACAATTGGCAATATGGCATACTGAATGATACTTGGGTACCCAATCACTCCTGCAAATTTTATCTACACATACTGGAGTGGTGCTTTTGGACTATTCTTAGCTGTGCTTGGCACGCTATTCTCTTATCAATAGAATATGCTCTTTCCACAGGTTTCCCCTACCAGTAATTATCAAGTGTCTTCGGCAAGCCCGCAAGACAATGCAGCAGGTTCAGTCCACATGCTTACCAATCACCGTGACTTGAAGCCACTACTGAAACGCACTCCAGGCAATCACGGCCATTGTCCCAAGACAAACTTCAGGGTAAGTGTTTAAAGGTTACTTTGAGTTTGAGTACTATAGGACAGGGCTAACTTCAGACTTGTAACAGGCAACATTACTGAATGTTTCCATGCAGCTGAGTACTTTCAGACTTCAGGGTAGGTGTTTTAATGGTACCGTGATTGCTATAAAACAGAACAAACTACAGGCTCGTCACAAGCAACATTTCTGAAAGTTTCCATGAGTACTTTTATTGCCTTCTCTTCACGTGCATACACTGAGGGGCAGAAAGTAGACTAACCAGTACAGTATCTGATATACAATGTAAAGATGATATAAACATCAGTAAGAGATATGAAATAGTTGATAAATATGGTGGTAAAGATGGTGGTAAAGACACACCTGGCAATATGGCGGTAAACACACGCCTGCCCACACACGCTCTCTAGGCTGCAAAGTTCTGGCACAGAGCACTCCTTCTCACCACCACCACCATCAGTTCGCGCCTGGCGCCTGGTCGATGCATGGCTGGCGGTATCCGGCATAGCAGGCTGGTACATCAAGTAGCGCATGGCACATAGATGATGACACAGCAACGACATAGCTCGATTGCGACGTACGTTTCGTCCCCGCTGGACTCATCAGGCAAGCTTCTAGAAGATATTGCCAGGTGTGTCTTTACCACCATCTTTACCACCATATTTATCAACCATAAGTACAGCTGCAGTGGTGTCTTCAACTTCATTCTCCCGAGGTATGAAATAGTGCGGCTAAATTCAAAGTGACGAAACACAGAGAGAATATCACACACAAAATGCACCGAAAGCGTTGATTTTCAAGCATATAGACAAAATCAAGGCAAGTCTTCTAATCATGTACATGCATTATAAGTGTGAAGAGGTCAATGTACTTCAAAGTAGGTGTGATATATGTATATAATACAACCCAACAGTACGCTTGTACGTGAAATATAAACCGACATACAAACCGAGGCGAAGCCGAGGTTTGTATGATGGTTTATATTTCACGTACAAGCGTACTAGTAGGATGTATTATACTTATGCTGACCTTCATACAAACTGACAGTCAACTTCTTCCTGTTTCTATGGTGGCGGTCTATATGGGGTTTGTATGAGGTTTATATGCCCAGTATAAGCCGCCAGCATGATGGGCAAGTTGACTGGAAGTTTGTATGAAAGGTCAGCATAAAGTGTGATATAACAATAGACAACACGTGTACAGAACTAGTGATGAGTGTGAGAATAACACCTTCTGGGTATGATATCCTATGCGTGTGGGAATGCAATGCAGATACTCCGGGAATGCTTTGGCGAGGCCATTGTCTTTCTGGTGGACACATCCTCGAATGTGACGGACGCTTTCCTTGTGGCAGCTGGCAACGCCATGATGGAGTTTGTCACAACAGCATCACGCACCACTGCTGGCAGTATTGCAGTGATGGCGTATGGAGCAGCTCGCAGTTACTCTGGCCAGGCGCAAATGATCTTCAACAACGAACCAAGGACTTCGAAGGGCAAGCGCCTCCTGAGAAAGCGTATCAAAAGTATCGCACGAAGGCCATCGATCTCTGATGCTCCTGATTTGTCCAGTGCGATCAGGCTGACTGACCAACTGCAAAGCAAGTCACAAATTTGGCAGGACATCGTAGTGATGAATCCAAACGGTATCAGATATATCACACCATCTGGACATACATATCAAAACCTGGAATTGCCGTTCCCGTCTTCTTCTCAAGCATCTCCATGTTCCATCGAGAGCACCACCAAGTCTTCAAGGGATTGCCTGGCCTATCTTCGTGACAGTCTCTTCACTCACTACCTGTGGAAGCCGAGAAGTATCTTTGAAGACAATGTCATGTTGCCCACACAAGATCTGCCCTACATGATGCTTCCTGCCCAATGGCCCACACAAACTCAAACACGTGCTGGATCTCTGAGCAAAAGCACCAGTGCTTCATCCACCTCGTGGTGCCTCAATGTGAAGATTCACAAACTGCACGCTCGGAAGTTGAGGCGTTTCCAGAGCGATGGCCAGAACTTCACCCTGACTTTGCACATCAGGTCAAGCTCAGTGCAGCAGACCGTGGACTTTGAACAACACTCCAGCAGGCTTCTTGCAGCGGTGAGCGAGAAACTTTGTATTTCTAATAACGCATGGAATGTGTGCTGATGACTTTATGCCACTAGCACTTCCTGCTGGTGCCATTCAATACCAAAGACATCAAATAGTGATGAAATCACATAACCCGACTTGATGGGAGTGTTGCCGCAAGTACAGGAGGTTCCGTTATTGCTATCATGTGATATAGTAGAACATTTCAGTCATCTAAAAGAGAATTTGGTTCCTCCCAATACAAGCTGGAGATCGCACCTTGTGCAGACTTGATTGACTCGCGATCAGCACATACCTCAAATGCAGCAAGCAGCTACTGTATGGTGCTCAGCATGGTGTTGTCACTTGTCAGCCACCGCAGAACCATCTTAGCGAGGTGCCGATCACCTTCATCAAAATTTTGAAAAACCTCGATTGTGGAAAACATTGGTTAGCTGGTTTGCCTGCCGCAATATCCCAAGTTGTACACTGGTTGGTTTTTTTGTATTGTGGCACAGGTTGTGATGGTTCCAATCACACCAGGAATCCAGTTAGCAGAGCACGGAGTAGTGCACTTCAGCATATCAACCACCTTGCCAGACAACAGTGCAGAGCAGTCTCTCGCTGTTACTGCCACAGCCCGTCTGGTTTGTGGACACACGCCGTGTACTGCTTAGGGTGGTTAGAGCAGCTTGCGCTGAACAACCAAGTCTACAGCGACGTAACCATCACATGTGCTGGTGCATCATGGTGTCCGTACTAGCGTTGTAGAATTCAAGCCCCTTTGGACGGCTCTCTCAGAACCTTGTACATCTAACGTTATGATGCATGTGGCCTAGTAAGCAATGCATACTGAACTGCATGCCTGCAACTGTAAAATCCTGATGCACATGTGTGGAGTTTCAGTTAGTTGCCATTGTCACTACTACTAGTACTACTAGTCAACTGACATGCTGCATTACATTCATCATACTTCATAGTGCCTCCAGTACTGATCATCGCGGCTGTATTCCTGATGGTATATGTACACTGTTACACTGTGACCTCTGCATGGCTGTTGTCTCCTTGTGATACACATTCCTCCGCATGCACATGTGTGTGTGTGTGTGTGCGTGCGTGCTTGCTTACTGTATGACATGATAGGACCAGCGCATAGCACAAGCTATATGCCTAGCTATTTGGACTACTCACTGAGTGCTCAATAGACATTGCATGCAATGCTTTCTACGTTCCACTTGCTCCGGAGTGTTCTCCCTACTATGCACACCATAACTATAGTTCAGTTACTAAGCAGAACTCTCTGTCACAATACTATGGACTAATCTCAATCGGGTCTGTTCTGGCTGATGGTGGATACCTGTGATGTTGGGTTTACACTGCGTGCCATTCCGTGGTGTGTCTACCACTATGATAGCCGCCCATGTGAGCTGGCTAGAAATCATTCTGATGGAATCTGCAGTGCCAAGCCAGTAGTGCCAATGGAGCCCAGGCTACAGTACAATGAAATACTGCGCAGTACAATAAAATGTCAGAATACTTTATGCTCAGTGCCTGTAACATACTAGAGCATGGGGCAAAAGCGGACCCTCCCCCAGCTTCAGAATAAAGCTCAGTGCCTGTAACATACTAGAGCATGGGGTAAAAGCGGATCCTCCCCCAGCTTCATTGCAGCTTGAGCCACTTGGCTATACGTTCAAAACTAGCTACCACCACATCAGGTCACGAACTGAAACAGGAGAAATACATGACAAAGTTGGATATAGTGAACAAATCACACTATAGAGGTTATGCGAATGATGTCATTGGGTAAATATGCGGATTTCTAATCGGCACCAAGTATACACTATACAGAGAGTTGCTAAATATCTCTAGTGCCTGCTTCGTAGGTACAGTGATGAGTGCAGATTGGATCATAAGGTGGGGCGCACACTGATAACAGTCAGAATGATGGACAATGTATGTCCGGTTGTATGGAGAACTTTTCCCTCATCAGGGTTAAAAGTTAAATGACAAGACGTTCAAAAGCAGAATGTACAGCTGTACTTCAGGAGTACATAATATTATTGTACTTGTAGATATACAATTTTTAAAACAGTCAGCTTGAACGGATGTAATGCCTCTGTTAAAAACAGTTGGAAAGTGATGTTTACATGTTCATGTATGTGACATTAGTTGGACGGTGGGTTGTGTGACTCATTTAATCAATCTTAGGGTACAATCCAGATTAACCCAGCTGCCTAGGTGGCTAGTGGCGTTCAGTCAAAATCAGCCCTTTCATGTTGCGGTGGAACAGTCCGCGAAGAAAATGTGTCACTTCTCAGCAATGATGTGAATTCAGGTGCTAGTGCAGCAGGGTCTTTGCTGTCTTCATCAGCATCGTAATAATGAGTACAGTGTATGCAGCTAACACATCTGAGCCATAGGCATAGCCATTCGATGCATTGAACTGACGGGATGCAAGAGCATGCACACAATCAGGCGTCATGAACCGCAAGCCAGCACTCAATGATCATGGTGTTTGGACACATCCAAGCTACTTGCACCAGCATTCAGTGCTTTGAACTGACCGGATGCAAGAGCATCCACAGGAGTAGACGTCATGAACAGTGAGTGTGGGACAGCTCCAAGCCGCTTCCTGCAATAGAATTTCGAAGCATTGCTTGGCAAGGAATGGATCCAGCAGGTTTGATCACACTGGACACCTTCGACGTGCCTGCATCATCCAGAGGAGATACCTTTGCAAGGACAAGGTGTTTGTTTAGCTCCTCTGTGACGTGCTCCATATCCATACGCGCAGCTCCATCGAGTCGCAACAGGTAGAACAGCAGCCTGTCAACACATTCGGGTAGTTTTGAGGTACGCAAGCCTGGGAATTTCAGAGGCTCATACAAACCCCTCATCAATTGACGGTCATTCATCCTGATGAACTGCTTGTACATATCGTTACTCATTAGAGCTTTGCTCCATAACGGGGGGAAGCTTTTCCGCGTCATGACTTCCAGAATACATAGTCCAAACCTCCAGAAGTCTGCTGACGAATTAACTAGAACTAAATCCTCAGTGGGTTGGATTCCTGGGCGTGGGAATAGTTCAGGAGGTCGATATGCAGCAGTATCATTGAGATTGCACCTATCCACCTTCTCCCCGGTAAATTTAGCAGAACCTAGGTCGATCCACTTGGCAACGCGTGTGCCGTCGGCTCCCATGGTTACACAGATGTTCGATGGCTTCACATCAAAATGGATAATGTTCAGAGAGTTGAGGAAGTGGAGACTGGATGCAGCATCCCGCAGCAAACCTAGTCGCTCATTATCATGCCGCAGAGTCCGGGATAGCTGGCCAAGTGTGCCTTCTGCGAAATAGTCCATTTCGAATCCTTCACAACTGCTGAACTTATACCAAATTGGTTTGCACGTTGCAAACAGCCGATCAATTTTCTCCTGCCGAATTTTCTCCTCGCACCTCTGTACATACATGGTTATAAGGAGTTCTTTGTACAGCATCTTAGTTTCGTACCGATGTTTAGCAGGGTGGATTTTGTGTAATTTCAGCACAGTTGGACCGGCTTCAAACTGTTCAGTGCTTTCGGAGCCCTTCTTGGTGGTGACCTTCATCACAAGTCTGCTCGTTGCATCTGAACTATAGATACATTCGCCTGGGTCCTTCACATCCTCCACTTGCGGTGTTTCGATCGTAACAGGTTCGCTGGACTGGCATATGGCCTTGGCTCGTTCGAAGTTATCCGGGTGCGGAATGGTGTAGCGAAACATAGTGAAACAGTCCTCCAAAAAACACTCCTCCACAGTGCGCGAATCTCCCGTTGCCATTGCTTCTACGGCTTGTGTTCCTGCTGACGCTGCGTGCCGGTAACTAAGTACTTCGTTTCCTCGATAGTGAGCAGTCGGGAATAGCAATGCGCCACGTTTCAAACCAATCTTCAAACCTTCGGTCAATATACCCTGCCACGACAGACCTCTCTCTGTATCTGTTTCTCGACGGGTTGCACTCCCGGCTTTGGCTGGATAAAATACGAGTATTGTATCACTTTGAAGAAGGGCTGAGGCTTCCTGCAGCTTCATCTCTGAAAGGAATTCGGGTGGACACACCCATTGCCATAGCGCTGCACATCACATCCGAACCAGTTCCGTTATTTTTACAACGTAACGGTTTCGTCACTTGGCCATCGTCAGGTAATAACAATGAATACCGTGGAAGCCACACAAGAGCAGCATATATACGCAGAGTGTAGCGCCAAAAAAGATGCGAATTATGTCACCTAGTATGCAGAAGGGGGGGGGGACAGAGAGAGGGAAAGTGCAACTAGCACATCTCGGAGAAGAAGCAGCAGAAGGTAGCGCGCCATTGCATTGTGCTCTGTGAAGTGAGCGCGCGTGCCATGGCGTTACGCAGAGTGTAGCGCCAAAAAAAAAAAGGGGGATGCGAGTTATGTCACCTCTATGCAGATGGGGGAGAGAAGGTGCAACTGTGCACATCACGGAGAAGAAGAGCGCGCCATTGTGCTCTTCGAAGTGAGGATACAATCATGCCAAAATAGTTATGGTGTTAATTCTAGCACATTACAGGAGGGGAGCACGGAGGCCCATGCGCCAAATTCCCCGCCAATGCACTATGAGTATGAGCTAGGTTAATAACAGAATGTGTGAGAAAAGCAGACAACTGCGAAATCCCACACTTCCATGCCAAACTGTTACCACCAGGGACGCGACGAGGCATCAGGAACAGAATGGATTTGAGTGACCCGCCTCATATTATATTCAGTGATATTGAAAAAAAGAGTAGCAGCAGGGGAAGCTGAGAAAATTCACAATAAATCCCATCCGGTGCTTATGTTGACATGGGGCTTAGCATCACGAATAGGGTCCAGCGGATAATGCCGGCATTATATGTATCTAATATTGACTGAGTACGAGGTCAGTATACGAAATAAAAGCCGAGTAAAAGACCGAGGCGAAGCCGAGGTCTTTTACGAGGTCTTTTATTTCCTATACTGACCAAGTACGAAGTCAATATTAGATTTATCACGACTAACCAAAGCATGTGTTCAATCGCTAAAAAGGAGTCAAATATAAGCGGTCAATATAGCCCTAAGGAGTGAAATATGCAGGAATATTTGACTGCTTAGGTATGGCAAAAGTCTATGGGAGTCAATACTAAGGGAGTCATAATCGGCATTATGAGACTATCCGAGCATCAGAGCATTATGGAGCATTAGAAGCATTAGAAGGGAACAAAACGAGCATTATGTGAGGTTTGAGCGGCATAACGAGTTTCATAGTGGATAATGCCGGGAAATCTCCGGTTTTTGGCTGCAGTCGACTAAAGCAATGAGATGCAACGCCATGTTACATAGCCCTTTCCCAAAGATGCTCGCCACTTTTTTCGCAACTTTTCGTTGTTTAGGAAGAAATCGCAACTTTCGCAACTTCCTTCTTTTTCCCGAACTATTTCGCAACTTTTCCGCAACCTTGGCCCCATATGGCATGTGGTCAAAAATTCAAGTCACGGACTGCATGTCAGTGGGAAGAGCATTCCATCTATTTCTTTCCTGGCGGCAGACAGATGGAATGCTCTTCCCACTGACTGCCGTCAGGCCCCGTCTCTTACTCTGTATGTAAACATGGTAAAAATTCACCTAGGGTTCCCAGTAAAAAGGCAACGCCTGTTGGGACTCCCCTAGTAAAATAATAAAATCTACTACTACTACTACTACTACTACTATGTCAAATGCATACTCGCTCATTCTCGCCTGCCTTCAGACTCATTTCAGAGAAACAGTAGATCAATGGTAGTTACGATAATGTGCATTCCGGTCCCTTTGCCTAGCACTGGAATGATGTAGGATACATGCAACAGGATACTGGCATTGTGTAAAGCGGTGTTTCACAGCAGGAAGGGATGTACGAATTTGACTTCTGCTATTTCTAGTCCCTTTTTGGTGGTTTCTGCACAAGAACTCTCCAATTTTGAGTTGCGATATTAGCAACTTTTGAGCTTTTTCTGAAAATATGGATGCGATTTCAGCAACTAGCACCTGTTTTGGCACGGTTGCGAAAAGCGTAAGTTGCGACAAATTATGGCATCTTTGGGAAAGGGCTAGCCATGTACCGGCACATGGATTTGTGATTTTGTAGACACGTAACACCTTTAGCACTAATGCTACATTTACCTGACTACATACATGTAATGCTATACTCAATCTGCGGACAGCATGCTGTTTCGTTCTTTTTGAACTCATCAGCGCAGCACAGAGAAAATGAGGCCGAACCTGATAGCAATGAAAATAAAAATTTCCAATCAGGCCCGAACGTACCTTGCCAGAGTGCTCAAACTGACAAGTCAGTGAGCTCTGCATAACGCAAACAGCAAAGGCACTACCCCACGCAATGCTATTATAAAGTCTTTACTGTATGTAGCAGTGTAGTCAGGTAAATGTACAGGTGATGTAGCATACCCAACGTTGCAATTGAGGCTGTTACACCAAATCCGTAACGATGATTTATGAGTTCTTCTTTTTTAGAAATCATGAAGAGCCATGGAGGAGACTAGACGTACATTGTACGCGAATGGAATATCAAACAGACGAAGAGGAGGTTTCCTGTTATATATATGCTATAGGCTCTGGCCATAGCATCTCTAGCGATACTGAAGTAAACATTGATAAATTTGGACCGGGATGAAGTAGCGGCTATAAAAAGAAAGAGCTTGTTCCAAATGACTGCCTATGCCGAATCCAGCTCAGCAGGCTCGAAAAGAACTAGAATTTCTCATGGACGCAGTATCAAGACGATTTGAGTGCTCAGCAGCGTGTGTCTTACTTTCCTGGTGAAGCACGTACAGTTCGTCGTGGATGATTGTAATGGAAGGCCTACAGTCAAGTGCTATCAGAAAAGAAGAGTATTGTGGCCAACCATTTGTCTCCACGCAACCTCAGAAGAAGAAGACAGCGCAAGCAGAGGATGTAGAGCGGCAAAGTAACTTCTGACCACGTGCTTTCAGGATTTCCGCAGATGGGAGGGATCTAGATCTGAGATCGTCTCCCAGGACCTGGCCTCACGTGAGCTGTTTCAGATGAAGACACTTTTCACAGAGTGGAAGCAGTGACATCTTGTCTGCAGGCAGGAATACCACTTCCCATGATATGCTTCCAGCGTCCAAATGATCACCAGCAATAATGGTTTCACCTCTCACTACATGGATAAGAAAGGGGAAAGAGTTGATACACCCACTATTCAGCCACAGCCCTGCATCAAAGTTGCAATGGAGAGCAGCCAATGGAGACGTAATCATGTCTTATAGTGCTAAGAAGTGGTGGAGCTCGTGAGAGATATTGTAGCAGCTTCTGAGGCGGATCGACTAAATGCATCCTTTCCTGGAAGCATGACAATGTGCAGCCTTCCTTTCATTTTTTGTTCCAAACCAGGAGCATTATAGCTAGTCTTGTTGAAGCATTATAATCAGCATTACAAGGTAGTTTTTGGAGCATTATGATAAGCATTATACGAACATTTTCGGAGCATTATCCGCTGGACCCTAATCACGAATCTCAATCGCCTTGCGCAGTTTGCGACGGGCTCGATCAGGCTCTCTCCCTATTACTTCAACTGCAGAGAATGCACTTTGCCCATAGTTGAGCTTGCATCTAGGGTGAGTGGTACGAAAATGTTGGCCCCATGGCTTGTCGAGTTCCTGTCGTCTTGCCTCACCATTATGTTCTTCCAGGCGAGTTTCCAGAAAGCGGCCAGTCTCACCAACATATTGTTCCGGACATTCTTTGCACTTCAGCTGATATACAACATTCTTCTGCATACATACATCCTGTCCCCCGGATATACACGAGATACACGGCCCCTTTGGGCGACCTCTCTTTTTCGGTTGTAGCGGAGTTGCAGCCTTGACACATAGAGGAGGAACGAGGGCGGAGCGACACAATTCGCGCCTCAGGCTACCAGTGTGCTCATATACGACTCTAACCGGAATTTTATTCTTTCTGATTGCTGTATTCACTGCTTGATGTACTTTATCTGACTTGTATGGAAGCTTTAGAAATGCTCACCATGGGTTGGCAGTTGGCATAGCGACGATGCTTTGGCCTTCTGGAGGCAGTGTATGCCTCTTCAATGATTCTCTTTTGGTAATTGTTCAATCTTAATTGTTCATGAATAGCCCTTTCCCAAAGATGCCATAATTTTTCGCAACTTATGCTTTTTGCAACTGTGCCAAAACAAGTGCTAGTTGCTGAAATCGCATCCATTTTTCAGAAAAAAAACGTTGCTAATATCGCAACCTAAAATTGGAGAGTTCTTGTGCAAAACCTACAAAAAAGGGAGAAGAAATAGCAGAAGTGCGGCGACAGCAAACTCGTAGATCTACACCCCTTCCTGCGGTGAACCACCACTTTACACAGTGCCAGTAGCCTGTTGCATGTATCCTACATGTAGATCTACATGTACATGTACATCATTCCAATGCAAGCAAAAGGGAATGTACATTATCATAACTACCGTTGATCTACTGTTTCTCTGAAATCAGTCTGAAGGCAGGCGAGAAATGAGCGAGTACGAGTATGCATTTGTCCGACATGCAGTCGGTGACTTGACCTTTTGGGGCCAATTGCGCCAAGGTTGCGGAAAAGATGCGAAACAGTTCGCGAAAATGAAGAAAGTAATAGTTGCGAAAGTTGCGCCGGAAAGTTGCGATTTCTTCCTAAACAACGAAAAGTTGCGAAAAAAAGTGGCGAGCATCTTTGGGAAAGGGCTATTCATGAACCCTCGCTTCACTTTCTGCACGCATTCTGGTATTCGATGAGAGCCTCTGAGCTCTTAGGAATTGCGACGAAGCAACTGCCAATTTGATACTGTGGGGAACTGCCGAAGTATAATCAATGAGTAGACCGCTAGCACATGCCTTCTGGTACAGCTTGTATGCCAGCTTGCCTTCCTGGATCATAATAATTATTGTTATATCCATATAATTTATGGAGCCACTCACCTCGCTGAGCTCATATGTGAAGTTGATACTTGGGTGTGCAGAGTTGGAATGCTGCACAAACCGCATCAAGCTCTCTCTGCCGTGGGTCCATAGCAGTAGGATATCGTCGATGTAGCGTTTGTAGAGGAGCGGTACTAACAGAGAATCCTGCAGAAGCCTGGCCTCAACCGTATGCATGAATAGAATCGCAAATGGGGGTGCAAGGTTGTTACCCATTGCAAACCCGTCCACTTGATGATAGATCTGATGGCCGAATCTGAAATAGTTGTGGCTGAGAACAAAAAGCAGCAGATTCCGTACCCTGCTCATACTCAGCCCAAACATGTCGATCCGCTGGGAATACTGCTGCAGCATATCCACCACTGCCTGAACGGCATGCTCGGATATAACCCGACTACATCCATGGACATAACAATGGTGCCATCGGGGGCGTTCAATCCCGGACATGCGTCACAGATGTGGGTTATTGAATGAGCTGCTGTAGGACGCGCTCCAATACAATAGATACTTCAGTCGTTGGGCTGTCGCACGCTGCTACCACGGGTCGTAATGGTAAGTTCTGTTTATGGTCCTTTGGAAGACCGTACCACTCGGGGAACTTCGTACTGCTTGGTAGGATTGACTTTAGGAGTTTTGAATCCATGTTCTTGCACTCTGACAGTGTTACTTCTCGTGTCTTGGTCTCGTAGGACTCTATGGTCAAATCAACTTTCTCATACATGGTCATGTTCAATAATATGTCTTCTGCTTTCTGCAAATACAGCTCCTGTCTCATAGCAACGACGAGTTTTTTTACTTTTATCCGATGCCGGTTTGATGATGGTTTCTTGGTCTGTGCGAAGTCGCTTCAGCTCCACCCGCTCCTTCTGCGTCAGATTGCGCTTAGAGGGTGTGTGTCTGTCATATGCCCGTAACACCTCGTCGCGGAAGTTGGCCATGTTCCTTTCGTCTTTGTCATCCATCTGTGGGGGCTGCTTAAAGCCACGCTTCATCAGCTTCCACAATTTCTTATCCTGTCTGATCTCTGGCGGTGGGTCATCCATCCTCTTTGAGGTCCACACCCTGAGGCTGGGGCTGTTGCCACCGGAGGGTGAACGCCATCGTCTCTACCGATGTCTCAACATCTGTTCATTCTTGCTTGGTGAGCCTCCCCGTCGACGGAACAAAGCTAGGTCCATGTTCCAGGTAGACGCCTTGTCTGGTCGGACACACAGTCGTCCACCACCAACGGCCCCGCTCATGGACTGGCTCAGCATTGGCCGTATGCCCACTGGGTGACGCAACACCAACGGCGGCAACAGGAGTTGGGCCGCGGGGCGAGCTGTTGGTTCCCGCCACACGTTGATCCGCCTCTCGAAGTCCAGAAACCTTTTTTTTTTGGCGCTACACTCTGCGTAACGCCATGGCACGCGCCCTCACTTCACAGAGCACAATGGCGCGATATCTTCTGCTGCTTCTTCTCCGTGATGTGCTAGTTGCACTTTCTCTCTCTCTGCCCCCCCCCCCCCCTTCTGCATACTACAGTGACAGGTGACATAGGTGACATAATTCGCTTCTTTTTTTTGGCTCTACACTCTGCGTATATACGTGGCTTCCACGGTATTCATTGTTATTACCTGACGATGGCCAAGTGCCGAAACGTTGTAAAAATAACGGAACTGGTTCGGATGTGATGTGCAGCGCTATGGGAATGGGTGTATTGTATCACTTCTTGTCAAATCGACTTTTTCGCGCTAGTGAGAGCTCGGCAACGGCTGCTTCAGGCTGACGGAAGCCTGCACCAGTGAAAAACAACTCTCGCACAGCCCTAGCTCACCGCAAAGCGAAGTGACACAATTTTGAGTGTTGCAGGTACATGTAGTACATGAATGTGGGGTATTATAAGTCTCCTGCCCATAAGTTACATGATGTCATCCACACACCTTGCTCACTACCTCCTGCCCACACCAGACACGCATCCTGCGCCTAGTATTGCACTGCTAGCCCCTGCCTTCAACAACCACACACTCTGCACACAGCCTCCTGCCTAAAATGACACCGCTAGTCCTGAAACATAGAGCCCCCACATTCTCACACAGTTGCTGATACAGCGCTACAAGACCCACCCTCTCCTGGCACAGTGTAGTGTACCGGCATGGTTGGCACTCCATCCTCATGTTGCCTGATGTTTGGGAGAGCACACAACTAATATTACTTGAAGTAGCAGCAAACAAGCCTTGATTGTCCTTGTTGTTCTGTAAATCTGTACAGTATCTGTAGAGCATATTCAAAAACATTGGCTGTGGCAGCGGTATTGAATACCTGCAGGCCATGTCATCGATGTCAAATTCCGCCATTGACTGTCAAATTCCCAATCACCGTTCACATTCAAAAGCCAGCCGTTTCCAGTATGTGACCATTGCTCAACTACAATAATTACAACAGTATTGGAAATAATGACTGTGATCTTATTAGAATGCTGTCTGCAAAGAAATAATTGTTCATATGACGGGAGTTGGAATGTATGGCTTAAATTGGCTTTATATTATACAAAATTCACAATGCCAAGAAACAATCAAGTCATTTCCACTGCAGAATTAGACTTTTAAAAGAGAAGACAAGAGGGATATCTACATTTCACAACTGTCCAGACGATTAGAGTGTAGCGTAGCGATGAGAAGCAAAAAAACTATGCAGAAGCAGGCATGTGACCGAGTGAATATAACACGGAAGTAGAGAGAGTACCTGAATAACTGAGTCTGATCAGGTGAGTGTGCACTCGAATCGGAAATCATTCATCACAAAATAAAGTTGCTTTGCCAAGGAAAGTTCTAAAACGTAGAAAGAAAGGAAACATGGATACAAGCTATTAAGAGTAACTGTCCTAATGGCCAGCACTAAACCGAGTGGTGTCCAAGTGTTCATATGGACTTGCCTGTTAAAACTCTTCCCCGGACATGGGTTCAACATCTACTTCTCCTGGCTCTTCATCATCTTGGTCGATCTCGAGGTTGGGTTCTACCAGCTCCGAGCAATGGTCTGGGACATAACTACCATCATCATCATGACTGTCCTCAGCAGTAGCAGCATCATCAGTGCTCATGACGTCGTTAGTATCATTGTCCGCCACGGCTTGTTGTTCAGCGATGGCTTCATCGCAGTCGGTGGTCGATTCCGGGCCCAACTCAGGAGCCAGGTCATCAAAAGCACAACTTGTGCTTGTACTCGGCGTGTCATCGGTGGAGGCAATAGCAGCAGTATCTGCTCGCTGGGTCTGCAGTTTGCTCTCCAGCTCATCCAGCACTGATTGCGCATCTCTTACAGCTTTACGGCGAATTGAACGCAGCTTGTCATCACCGTATGACTCGACGGTGTCCAGGCGAAGCATAATGCGAGTCAGTGTGTCTTCCAGGCGCAGGAAAGTCTTGCTTTGCTTAGTGTCAGAAAACGTCTCCACTTCATGGCGAACAGCATCGATTTGTTTCGTGACTGCCAAGATGGTTGCAAAGCTGGCCATCAACGCTGCTCTCTCCTGCGTAACTGCAGCGGTTTCGATCTCGGGTTCGACATCGGTGTGTACAGGTGACGATTGTGCACTCGTTCCAGCACTGGATGGTGTAGTTACTGCGGCTGCCAAAGGTGTGGTCGAGCTTGTTTGCTCATCCTCTGAGCTTCCTTCACTGGTTGGCTCATCAGCAGACTGTGGCATGGCACGGTTACTAGTACTCAGAGGTGCCGATGACGAAGACAGGCGATGGGTGCGTCTTCTGTTCAGCAACTCAGCCAGGGACGACTCAGCCACTGGTTGGGCTTCGTCTTCAGATGCGCAGTCATCCACAGGGTAGCGCTGGTGCTGCTCCCATGGAGCTACAACACGTAGAGCTGGTCGACGGCGATTTTCCTCCACTGCACTCGGCGCAGGACTAGCGGTTCTGGTAGTTGTCACTGGAGTTCGTTTGCTCACTGCCGGACTACAGGTGCGAGTGAAAGCCGAGTGAACATGTGGTGATTGGCCGCCATACCTTGCCTGAGAAGTAGCAGCTGAAGCAGGTGCACATCTTGGTGTGGCCGTCGGTCGCGACATCCAGAAGCCTGGTCGCTCGTCTTCTGATGACTCGTCCGATTCATCAGCAGCGGTATAAACTGGGCGAGTTGGCAGTCTGAATCTTGCCATTTCCGCTGCCCGTTGTCGCTGGCGCAGAGTAGCCGCAGTTGATGGCCGAGTGTAGGCAGGTTCTTGCTGCCTCTCACCATATCCAAATGGCACTCTGTACGACGCAGCGCTGCGCGATGGAACTCTCCATGATGGCGAGTCGAAATCATCCAAATACCCCGTGTACTGGGGAGCAAACGAACCACTGCCGCTGCCCAGCGGGGATGAGAAAAAAGAGTTGGTGAACATTGCGATTTCTACTGGTATCCTTGCGCCTTCCTGAACAAATCAACTCTTGCGATTTGAACTCCCAAGGCTCTGAGCACACTTCAACCAACCTTCCAATTCCAAAGCTCTGAACAAATTTTGTATCGATCTGCCGAGCCATCGTCAATATTTATAATAATGACTATGAAATTACTAGAATTGTACGAGAATGTCGCGAACGATTAGAATTTAGTAGAAAGCAGTAGCAGCTTCTTCTTACAGATCGGCAAAGATTCGGAAAACGCCAGACTTTTCCACATTGTTCTCGACTGCATGCAACCCTTTGCCGTTGGGGATTCCCCAGATTCTCTGTAATATATCTCTCATATCAGATGACATTATGTCACTGTCAGCCAAGGCAGGAGTACTAAAACTTCCGTTTTTTACTAATTTTAGTACTCCCGGCCGGCGCGGCGGCCTGCTGCAGCGCTGCCTGAGTGCTGGCCTGATGACAGTGACGTGACTGGTGACGTGTTTTGTGTGTCTTTTATGACCTGCCTTTGTACTTCCCTTTCGACGATGAGTTTCGTCTCATCAAGACAAGAGTACTGTAACTGTGTGAGACATGTATATAATATAACGAGGAAGCAAATCTAACGTTTTAACGGATGACATTTCTTCGTTATAATAGATCCATTGAGGCCGTACTGCTTCATATATGCTGTGTGTGTATATGGCAGAATACTGCAAGATTGTTAACATATCTTCTCGTTAACCTATGAATTTTGGACAATCGTTAAATGTGCGACTCGTTATAATAACATGTCTTACAGTACATGAACACCTTTTTCCATGTAACTATTGTTGTTGGTCTCATCCACCACCAGGAAATTCGAAACTCCCCCGATCCCGATAAGTATCCATCAGGGTATCTGGTATCAAGAGTACATGAAAACGGTTTTCATGTACTCTTGCTGGTATCAAGAGTGCATAAACACGAGAAAAAAGAGTTTAATGGACTCTTGCTGGTACCATTAATGATTTACTTTTGGAGAATCCTTCAAATAAAAAATGAAATCACTGTGTACATGTGTACGTAGATCTACGTGTGTGTACCCGTGTGCATGTGTACACGTGTGTGTATGAGCGCTCGAGCCTCTTCTGACAACGATTGAAAAACGTTTTCAAAATCCACACACACAGCATGCTAGCGCTATATTGTAGCATGTATGTACATATGTACGTACCGCCATTTTTCGTGCAAAACAGCAAAAAGGTCTCGAGAACGATTGAAAAACGTTTTTCGTTGTCGTGTAGAGTCTCGTACATGGAACTACACACTCCCGTATATGCACACACTCCCGTACACATGTCATACACATCTGCATATTCCCGTACACACAGCCCTCTCACGCGTCACTGGTCACCATGGTCACTCACTGCAGCCTTGTACACACTGCATGCACGCCCACGTGCACGGCCGGCTGAACTCAACAACAAAAAAGTGACATGCCTTTTTTCAATCGAAATCAATGACAAAATACTAAAATAATTGCAGTTTCATTGTTGTTCCTTTGAAATTGAGCTGTGAGCTGTGATGGAAAGAAGGGCTATTTGGTAGAAAAAGGAGCAGACATTAGGATGCCTGAAGTATCTCTATTGAAGGTTAGCTCCCTCACCTTACTTTGTTTCATTGCACTGTAACATAGGCATCTCACCAACTTTAAAATAATAGCGTCGGTCGAGTACTCATTCAAAATTCGAACTATTTCCACTGAGAAACTGTGATAAGTGGTCCTTTTTGTCATCCTATCGGTTGTTATTTCCTCCATTCAGGTGGAAAGCCCCGGAGAGTTCTGGATTAGATTCAGAGTTGGCGAAGATGGAGTCGCCACGTTGCAGAAACTGTCGGAACTCGAGCAGCATCTGAATGACCTTTCTCTATCCGTTCCTGGACGACTGTCGTCACCGAGCCCTGGCCAGGTGAGTTAAACCCCTAACCTAGAAGACCAATATTTTTCCAGTCGGCAGTGTTACTTGATATGAAGTAGTATAGGTACATGTATGTGCTACTGTAGGTGCTATGATTGTATTGGGTGAAGAATCTACTACAGCCTTGCAGGATGTTTTGTTAATATTTAGAGCCCGAAAAAAGAGGAACACTAGCTGAGGTACAACTTATGCGTTAGAGTCCACCAACTGCACCAGATCATGAACAGTCAGACGCGCGCAATTTATAACAAAAAAGGACAAGGAGGACTGACACGTCACTGACCACCAGTGCACCTAGCACAGCGAAATGATCATGATAATGATATTGATGTTGATGACCTAGGTAAAGAAAAAGCCTAGCGAGGACAATGCGTCGAGCTCTCTCGTTAATTTTTATTTATTTATGCCGGCCAGCGCTTTGGCTGAGCGGTTGTGGGCTTGTCTGTAGATCATAAGGCCCCCGATTTGGAGATTCGCCCTGGCAGCAGGAAGTGTGTACTCTGCTAGCAAATAAGGTGATAAATACATGGTCTACTTTGCATGCGATATTGCACATGTTGCACATACTGACCCGATCGTGTTTGGCAGGTATTTGTCTTCTCACGTAGGGCTGGAGCTCCACAAACATTTCTTTTCATTTCATACTAACATAGCTCCCCACTTCGCTCCCTCCCTTTTTCCCAACACCTTTCGCCATCGCTCCTACTCTCCACATATACACACCTTAGCTGGCATATTCGTCACTTTCCTTATCGCACCTTTCTAGTGCGCCTCACGTCATATCTACTCCATTTCTCTGTTGTTCATGTCTAGTTTAGTGTTTCACCCTGAGGATAGGCCGTGCCTGAATATTTAGTGAATCTGACAGTATAAAACATATGTTTTGCAGAGAAGAAAACATAATAAGAAAATGTAGTATTTAGTGAGTGTTCAGGCTAGGTAATTTTTCATATTCTGACTTTCTGAGTTCTATTTTGAGATTTACATACATGCCGGCAAGTCCTCAAGCATACAATATGAGTATACTGTATTACCGTTTTTCTCCCTGGTCGGCTATTTTGAGCACCTTTCTACTGGTCTCGGGTACACAAGCGCCGTCGCTCAGACAAAGGAGCGAAAAAAGAGATTCTTTGTCACTGTTCACTGTTGCCCGTACTCGGTTGATTGAAAACACATTTGATATTTCTCTCGTCTTGCACCTTGTCTTTCTTGTGTGTCTTGCACTTGCACACAGAACGTCCTCGTTAAGGATAAGGATGATCGCCAGTGGTACCGCGGTAGGATACACCATTTGCTGCAGGGTTCGGATGGAGTTCTGGCACGGTATGTACGATTAGGAGAGTCACATCTTGTAAGATTGTTGTGCGATTGTTCGCTTCGTGCAGCGTCGATCTGGGCATGTACACGTTTAGGAATATTGGTACTTAGGAGTGTTGGCACAACTGGCACTCCCGCGTCAAGAGCGTTACACTTGCGGCAGTTTAGCCTCAGCCTGAAGTCTGTGAAGAGTCTGTCTGCTGCAGATGAATGCATTTCTGTTGAAGGACAAAAGTCACAGCCGCGGCAGGCCCAAGTTAGTTTTCTGGATCGCTGTCTTTCACCACAACGAGGTTGACAGGAACGCACTTCACCTTGGTGTTTGCAGATATTGTCACCCCCAGTTTACTAGGTAACCAGTAAGAATAGGTAAATATCCGCTATCACACACAAGCATATCTTGTTTTATAATAATATGTGACGTATGAATTCTGGATCCAGCGGTGACTCCCATTACCTTCTTGCTTCAAATAGTGTGGATCTCACTGGAGCAGGATGACCATGGGCCTCTCAATAAGGCTGGCCGTCTATCTCAGTTGTTGTACTTGAACAGTCTGTGGTAATTGATATTGACCAAGCCTGGCCGCCGGTGTTGAGTGACGCTACGGTTGTTGCTGTGTGTTGACGTTTTCTGTTATAGAGTCTTCTATCTGGACTATGGCCAGACAGTGACGGTGAAGGCTGACAGGTTAGTGGGTACAGTGCATTTGTTGTCGGGTGCATTGTGTCGATTGTTGCACAATTGTTTGGCTCCACGGTGCTGTGGTAGCTTTGTCTGCATGCTTTCCTGTTTGCAACCCGAACCGTGACCTTTGAAGCTTCTTTTCACCGTGCACTCGTCTCAGTGAGTTGCTATGGGGCATTGTTGCTCATGCCACTGGAATTTCTCAAGCACACTGACATTTTTGAGGCACTCATACTAGCCACTTCCAAATTCTTGATTTTCTTGTAGTCTTCGACCGGCACCGGCAAACTTTGACTCGCTGGATTGGCAGGCAAAGCAGTGTACTCTACATGGCGTCAAGCCATTGTCTCTTCACTTCTCCCTGGACTACATGCAGCAGGTTCCAAAGTAAGCCAGTGTCACTGTGTGTGTGTGTGTGTGTGTGTGTGTGTGTGTGTGTGTGTGTGTGTGTGTGTGTGCCTGTGCATGTGTGTGCCTGTGTTCGCATATGGCGCATACTTCTGTCTGTCTGTCTGTCTACTTTGGATGTCTTCGAGACAGGAAAGCTGGTAGTTCTTAATTCTTGCACATTTCATTGACTAATCCTTTTTGGTGTGTTTTGCAGAGATATTTTTTACAAGCTACTGTCATTCTCAATATCCAGTCCCCTTTTGTCTGGATCCCTTGCCAAGTGGCTAAACGGCAGAAAGTTTAATTTTTCCTTGATTTTTGCACCTTGATTTTGCATAGAATATCCTTTCTGTTTTAAATTTGATTATAACTATGGCTTGGTGTGTGTGTGTGTCATTGTGTAGGTCAGGACAGAAATGGGACGAATCAGCCAGAAACTTCTTTCACAAAAGTATCAAAGGTAAGTTTTTGGCTTTCCCCGAGCACCACGGGGGTGTACACGTGATGGCCAGTGTTAGTTGCACTAGCACCGTCATGTTAGTACGTGCAATATAGTAGTCACTAGCTGAGGGAATGGAAAAGGGAAAAAAGTCTGAAGAAAAACCTGACTGACCAGGACTTGAAACAGGGACCTTCTTCGCTTGAGGCCAGCGATGGTATATTACTATAGTACTTGTTGTTTTGGGTTTCTTCCTCGTTTTTCGGCGCCTTTGTGGTTGTATGCATGTGTATATGCGCTCTCATGCATAGCTTTCTTTCTTCTTTGGTCGTGATGTGTAGATCAGCGTCTCTCGGTGGAGGTGATGGACGTATCTGGTGATGGTGTGCTCCGTGTCAACCTGTATGCTGGAAAGGTGAGCTGATGTGTGTGACTGTTTCTGTGTGGTGCTGGGGGAGACTACGGTTGCTGTTCAGCTATGTGGGCATATAGAGGAATACCTGCCCCAAGAACGACTGAAACATAACATATCGGTACTTGTCCCTTCGAGTGAGAATATGTTTTGGTCCGAAGCGAGTAAGACAAGGAAAGTTTTGTAATTATTTGATTTCCATTGCACCCTAGGTGCATGTGTGGGTGAAAATCAGGAGGGCCAAACTGATCTTTTCTTCATTTAGAAAACAGAATTCTCACCCGAACGTACGCTTCCATACTCCATGGCCCATCCCTGTGAGGCACACCATAAGAACACCATACAGTCGGGTGAGACTTCCCAACTAAAGTGATAAAATCGATAGAACCGACAATGTGTATGCCTGTTTGGTTGCGTGCTTGTGTTTCTTGTGCATCCGTGAATGTGTGTGAGGGTGTGGGGTTCTGGTTTAGGTTGTAATACGATTTCTGGTGTAGGTTCAACCGTTGTACTGTAAAAGCCATTATTCTAACGAGGCGCATATATAACGATTTCCCAACATTGACTAGTTTACGTGTAGCAAAGGTAACGATTCTCACTCATTCTCAACGCTCAATAGGGCGGTATATGTATCGATTTCTGTATAACGATTTCTATTTTAACGACACATTTCTCCTCGTTAACTCGTTAGAGTTAGCACTTCGTTATATATATGGCTTTTACAGTATTGTGATTTCTGGTGTTGACACCATGGTTAATTGCTTGTCTCTGTCACCATGGCTTCTGTACAGACATCGGTCAGCAAACTTCTTGTCGCAGAAGCATACGCAACTGAAGCAGAGGAAGATGTTGTCTCTACTTCTCCAAACGTTACGACGCCTGTGAGCAGTGCAACACCTGCGGTTAGTGTAGCCCAAAATGGTGAGCAGTACCACTCTACGCGCCCGGAGAGTCGCCCTGGTCTGGCCGGTCGCCCACTTGACGACAGCTATGGTCCGCCAGAGAAGCGCTCCTGGTCACAACCGCGTGCTAGTTAGTATTTGTTCTGTTCTACCTACACGTACACGTATGTACTTCATTGCTTCGTGTTATGTAGTACCGGTATGCCTTTGTGTGTGTGTGCTCACAATTTGCGGATTGTCCTCTGATGACTTTTTCAAAGCAGCTCCAAGCTGCAGGGGAGTTTTTTCTTTCTTTTTTCGTTGAACGTTATAGAATGCATCACACAGCTTTCCCTCTCTCTCTCTCTCTCTCTCTCTCTCTCTCTCTCTCTCTCTCTCTCTCTCTCTCTCTCTCTCTCTCTCTCTCTCTCTCTCTCTCTCTCTCTCTCTCTCTCTCTCTCTCTCTCTCTCTCTCTCTCTCTCTCTCTCTCTCTCTCTCTCTCTCTCTCTCTCTCTCTCTCTCTCTCTCTCTCTCTCTCTCTCTCTCTCTCTCTCTCTCTCTCTCTCTCTCTCTCTCTCTCTCTCGCCACAGCAAAGATACCAAGTCCCCGGATCACAAGCACTTCTAGCAAACATTCTACTTCGCTGGATGATCGCGTTTTACGTCGACTGGCTCGCTGCTTGCAGTCTGTGTGGGCAGACCTGGCCTATGAATTAAACTGGTCTTCTGCTGACATCAACCAATTGAAGGCAAAGGCAGCAGGCAGCAGCATTGAAGCATGCTTCATGCTTCTAAAGAGCTGGCAGCAAGAGGACCTGACCGGAGACAAACTTATTCTGGTGATGTCTGACGCTGGCTTTGTTGAAGAAGCGGAGCAGGCTGCTAATGTGTTAGGTCAGTATGCAACGCAATGTTCTGTCTCTTATCTCTTTCTTTGTGAGGTTGAACCATCCCTACAGTGCATGCATCAGCGGCTGTTATTGCGGACGTTGTAGTGGGGAGTGCTATGTCAGAGGTATTCATGTTCCTACTGCGCGGATGGTCATTCCAGTCCTCCATGTGTTTGGAAATCCTCAGATATACCTTGGAATGAAACCCTGTCCCAAAGCAGCTTTGCTTTCAGCATGACGTGCATTCACAGTACATAGTCTTATCCTCTGCTGTATGAGCTCCAAATTCCACTTCATCGTATTTGCTAGACCCCAGAGTAAACGATTCATTGTTGTGTAGTGTGATGTGCTCTGGGAATTCAGAAACCACAATGATAATATGTGATTATGCAAGCAGCAGTTGTAAGGGTCATCAAATTAATTAAATGCAACCAAGCATTGTGTTGCAAACTTGCAGTAGATGAGTTTTGTTCTCCGCTGTTCTTCCCTGCGCAGATGCATGTCTAGAGAGTTCCCGACGCAATGCTGACACGTCTCGTGGCATCCAGCAACGCAGTAGCAGCGATGCTTCGACAACGGAGAACAGCAGGCAGTGTGCAACCAGTCATCCTGTAACGGCATCTTCCTCGAATGAGCCATTGGCCAGGTCTTCATCCACCAGCTTTGACTCATCCTCGCCTCACGGCCATGCGTCCGGCATCTGTGATCGGCCAGCGGTGGCTGGTCCTGCTGCTAATGCGCCGTCAATTGCAGATACGAAGGGTAAAACGCCACCGCCGCCGAAAGTTAGCCGTGGCCGCGGCGCAGCCATTGCCTCAGCCATTGCCAATCTATCCACCACTCCAGTCGGCGGCATGGCAGCATCAGAGAAACGCTCTCCGGCCAGTGCAGGTGGCCAGACTCCTACTTCTGCTACCTGCACTGCTCCCGTTGGCGATAGGCCTGCTTCCCCGGAGAACGTTTCACCGGCGAGTGATGCACACAGGCCTGGACCCAGTCCAGCGGCATCGCCATTGAAGCCGGTCATTGGCCTCCGTAGCCAGCCCACCGGTACAGAGCGTATGCAGCGCTACCATGCTGTCACTGCTCCCAGGACTGCTGCAATTACCAAAGGGCAGTCGTCGGACGAATCGCCAATCAGCAGCGACGACCGCAGCCCTGGCACTGGTATTCGCGGCATGCAAGGTGCCATGTCCGGCAGAGGCAGCGACTCGGATACCAAACGTCATCCTCGCCACCGAGGCCAGAGAAGTCGCTTTGATCTGCACTGTATCAGGCAGGATGCAAACTGTCACGGCGAAGCCGCTGATGAGATCACCGCTCAGGCTAGAGAGATGCGCAATCGCATGCACGTAAGTGTTAATTGATCCTAGGTCGAATGGTGCTCTGACCCAGTCTGGGGTTTGAGCTAGGCAAAACTACTGGAGTGTGTGTTACATTGGCATGCCAGGATGTTCAGCCAATCTATCAGATGTACTTAGCATAGTTTTGCTTACTATCGTACTAACTTACCTTGAAGCACTGGTGTATTTACCGTGTACAGTGTATCATGGAAATGCATTGGAATGGTATGTTCTGTGAAAACAGCCCCAATATTGGCTAACAAATCCCGTATATAGCCGAGAGACCAGACACAGTGTTGAAGTGATAATTATGTACATTTTAGGTGCACAGCGTTTATTGTAACCTGGTCAATTTTGTGTTTCATCTGCAGGAGAGTATTTCTCGGAAGTCGGGAGGATTTGTTCTTGTACGCGGCCAACATACTCCTGAGCCGGCTGACAGCGTGGCCGGCGTGCATTCGTTTCCGAACGCGCTCGTCACCCGGTGCGAGAAGTGTGATTTGACGGCGGCCCGTCCAGTGCAGAGTTACTGCTGGCCGGCTGTGATGCGTGGCCACGACGTTGCCTGCGTATCGCCGCGAGGTACCGGAAAGACACTGGGCCACTGTGTTCCGCTGCTGGCCAAGATCATGAACCCGACCTTCACGCGATCCATGCCCAAAGGCATTGGCCCCTTCATTGTCGTCCTGCTGCCGTCTTGGAGCAAGGTCTTGGCTGCGCACGCGATGTATGATAATCTGGGCGACAGCACACGCCAAAACCCGTGCCGTTCGTTCCCGATTCACGGAGGTGGCTCGGAAGAGGAGCAGGTAACCAATCTTATCAATGGCTGTGAAATCATCATTGCTACTCCTGCATCACTGCTACGGCTACTTCAGAAGAGGCAAACAAGCCTGGCCCGACTGTGTCACCTGGTTCTTGATGATTGTGATCAGCTTGGAGACTTGTTTACTGATGAGCTCGACGCTATTATGAAATTGCTGGAAGAGTCTCTGGCTGCGAATAGTTCTCGTTCACCACCCCAAGTGTTGCTCTATACATCAACATGGACACCAAAGGTTGGTGCTCTCAACAAGGCCTACCTGCAGAATCAGCTGACGATCGTCTGCAGCAAGCTGGAGATGGCGGTGTCAACGGGATGCAACATGCTGGCTCATGTCACCAGTGCCGAGAGCCGCTTCACAGAGCTGCGCCGTATTGTCGACACGATCGCGGAGGGCCAGCGCGGCGATCGCATTGTCATCTGCACATCGTCTGCACAGCATGCTGATCGGCTCAAGGAGATTTTCATGCGCTACTCTCACTCGGTGCTCTGCGCGCACGAGAATCTCGTTCACGATCAGCTCGAGACTGCCCTGACACACTGGCGTACACCGTGCAGCAAAGCCTCCGTGCCATTACTCATCGTCACTGACTCTGTTCTGCTGAAGATGAGCATTGATGATGCACATTGCGTCATTCACTTTGATTTCCCCTCCTCAAAATCGGCTTTCGGCCATCGCCTTGACTGCCTTCGCAAGGCTTTCCTCGCGGGACAGACGGAATTATGCAGCAGTCATTTGTTCATCTCGGAGGAAGATGTCGAGTCTGCTCACACTATTATGCATTTGCTGAAGCGCTTCGGCTCAGAGGTTCCCAAAGAGTTGTTGAAGCAGAGCGCCCAGGCAGTGCAGTTACGCGAGGAGAAACGCCGCAGTCAACCGCTGTGCACCAGTCTACGCCAGTGGGGCGCGTGCTCGCAGTTCAACGAAGGTGTCAGCAGCTGCTCTATGCGTCACGTCGTCCTGGAGGAAGTCGACCAGCCGTCCGGCATTCCCACCGAAGGCTACGTCAAGGTGATCGTTATGAGTGTGGTATCGGCCAGTCACTACTGGGGTCGAATTGTCAGTCATCGCTCACTAGCCAGTGATGTTCATTCGAAGATCCAGAACCGTACCTACCTTAACCTCACCATGGACCTGGCCATTTTCTACAGCAACCCGGAGAATGTCGTCCAGAAGGGTGAGTGCTGAGGTTTTTGAGCGGATGTTGCTGCATTACTCAGTACATTAGTCAGACGATTGTCTCTTGGTTGTCATCCACAATTCTAACGAATGGCATGTTTGGGGGAGGTGGGGGCATTACCACATAATATACCTGGATGTCCAGTTACTAACTTCAAACAGTTTTGCTGGACATTGCTGAATGTGTGAACTGTAAGTGTTTCAATATTGCAATAAGGAGGACGAGCTGAAGTGACATTTGGATTACTTTATTAAACAATGTTTAAAAGTGATGGAGATGATGCGAAAAACGATCTAAAAGGTAAGGAGAAATACATGTAAGGAGAAAAAGCGATGGAAAAAAAGATGATTCGAGCATGTTTTCGTACAACACTCTTCAGGAATCACCGTTGTACTAAAGAACAAATAAGAACAAAGGAAATAATCTAGCAATCAAGTTAGTGTAGCAAGGTACAGTGACAGCACTAACATATCAAAGTGTGATACTTCTCACAAAGGTGTGCACAAAACAAGGGTATGAGAATTATAAGCGTGGCATGTGTGTATCATGTGTGTATCAGCAACAAAACATGTTTCTTTCTTGTTTCCTGACAATACGTCTACTGGTGTATGGTTTTCCCTTCCGTGATAGATATTTTCTTGAGAAACGTGCACGCTGGTTTACTGACTAGGTGACTGTCTCGTGGCCTGGCTTTGTCTGCTTTAGCCCATAGTTGTTGCTTGTTTTCTGTATGTGCGTGTGTGCATTCGTGCATGTGTGTGCGTGTGCGTGTGTGTGTGTGTGTGTGTGTGTGTGTGTGTGTGTGTGTGTGTATGTGTGCACATGTGCATGTCTGTGTGTACATGTGTGCGTGCGTATGTGCATGTGTGCTATGGAACAGATGATGTGAAAGTGGGTGATTTGTGTGCGTGCACCAATGCTCAGCAAGCTTATTGCAGGTGAGTGATGTGTCTTGCTCAGTCACGTAATTGACTGCTGTATTTGCACACGTAATTGGCAGTATCCAATAGTGCCGTGGCTGGGTTAACTAAGTTACTGCAAAACACGATATTTTCGGTAATCTCGGTAGTGAAAACAAGCCCCTAAATTTAAATTACATCTAAAAGACACTAGAGTATGCACAGTATGTGAAGGGAAAGTTGGTCACCTAATTCTACATCACACCTGAAACCTGGCAGGTCCCTGATACCGAAATTTTAACACACGTAAAATTATATGTTTTACAGTATCCGCTACGTGTCCTTTTGACATGCCTATCTACATGTGCCCTGCAATTCTGTACTGTGTGCTGTTTGCCAATGTAACACGCAGGGCCCGTGTACTGGAGAAGATGCAACGCGGTGCTCGCCTTCTAGTTAAGGTCAGTGTTAGTAGCGGTCATGGTTATTTGGCAGAGATATTAGGGAGGTTCCGCACTACGTAACGTTGAGCAACATTACGCAAGTCGGTGGGGGGAAAACTGGGAATTCGCGAGTTTGCACTCCACTTACGGAAAGTTGTCTACGTAGAGTACGTGAATGGAGCTCTACTAACGGAGGTGCTCCATAAGTGGATTGGGGTATAAATTTATGACTCTCTCCCTAGGTCGTGTTTGGAGTTGTCAGGGGCAGCTACGTGATTCGAAAACTATGTATGGCGGAACACAGATCTGCATGCCGTGTACGTAAGACTTTCCGTAGATCGATTACTTTTTTTACAAACGTAATTACGTTGTGCGGAACCTCTCGATTACCTCCTTTTGCTGTCCTTCTTGTTTACCGCAGCAGTGAAATCCAGCCTGTGGCACTGCTGGTGTCAATATTGTTTTTGATCGCCGTGCCTCTTTGTTGCAACTCAGGTCCATCTTCTGGACGAAGGTCGGGAGGTCGTTGTGAAGCAGGATAGCCTCCATGAACTGCCGCGTCACCTAGCTGAAATTATTCCTCAGGTACTGTGTGTGTGTGTGCGTGTGTGCGTGCGTGTGTGCGTGCGTGTGCATGCATGCGCTTGCTTGCTTGCACGTGTGGTTTGTATGTGGATGAGTGGGTGCGTTCGTGCACATGCATGTTTGTATTCAGGGGTGCGGGTCGATTCACGTGCAGCATCCGGTGTGTTAGCCGTAGGGGGCGATTTTCGCCTTTTTAAATTATCTTGGAATTTAAGATTAGTTCTGATCTCTACGCCTAGATGTGTTACCGTACTTTTAGAATCCAGTGAGACGTTGTCCATTTGGACAGTGGAAGCCGGAAGAGTGTAGTTCGAGAACATAGTGATCTTCAGGAAGCAAACCATATCAAATGTACAGGGAAATATCGCATTATAACGATCAAGAGTGATGATCACAAAACAAGTGTTCTTCCAATAAAATTCACTTCTTCCGAAACTTATCCAGTGTTGCCTGGATGCATCTGGCAGCAGACGTGAGTGAGAGAAGATTCTTCCCTGTATGCTGTAAGCAGCCACATGTACACATGGCTGCTTTTCATGCTTTTTCCAGCATGTACGCATCATTTCATGCACAGTCATGTGCCATGTGTCAGTCATACATGCAAATCGGCTATAGTGATGCACCGAATGTAGTGATAAATTATCGAAAATCAAAGGGGCACGTTATATCCAGTATTTACTGTACAATATTACCTTTCGTGGAGACAGTGCAATGAGCACTCGTGTGCGTGTACATGCACGTCCGCATACTAGAATTGACCACAAGCACACATGTATAAGTCCCATTGCATCATGGAAATGACATACCGGTACATGTAACTTAATGTCGGATCAGCAGGGTATACGGGAATTGCACACTCTTGGGGGTTATGTCAGCAGGGTATACGGGAATTGCACACGCTTGGGGGTTATGTCAGCAGGGTATACGGGAATTGCATACTCTTGGGGGTTATGTCAGCAGGGTATACGGGAATTGCACACTCTTGGGGGTTATGTGCTCGTCACACCAGATTTGCCTGCTTTTTAAGTCCACTTTCTCAATTGCTCTTGTGGGGTGATTGTGTTGTGTGTGCGTGCATGCGTGCCTGCGTGCGCACATGTGTGTGTGGTGTGTGAATGTTTGTGTGCATGTGCGTGTGTGTGTGTGTGTGTTGATGTGTGTGTGTGTGTGTGTGTGTGTGTGTGTGTGTGTGTTTAGGCGATTGAGATATTTGCGTGTCGTCTTCGGCCGTGCGACCAGGAAGACCACTGGACACCTCAGGTGAGTACGCCAAACCATTATTTCCCTGTGAAGGGGGTTGGGGGTCCTATTTGGCCTGTTTCTGTCCTGCTTCTCGAGTATACAGCTTGAACATAACAACAATCTAAACCCGTTTTTCATGAAATGTGCAGACAATCAGGACAGTGGTTGTATTGTTTCAGACTAGACTAGAAAGTGACGAAGGTTACACCCAGTAGGATCACCTTGGATATCGTGCCGATGTTGATGGAAAGCTGGGACCCAGTCTTAGTGTGTGCAACTGGAATTGTGTGGCACCACTGGTCGTGGTTTGGTTGACACTGCTTCCTTCCTGCTCCACTGTGTGTATTATGTTGTACAGGCAACCGAGCTGGCCAAGACGCTGCTAAATCGAACGCTGAATGGCAAGGTTGCGCTCAGCATGAAGGGTTGCCTGTGGCTGGACCCGCTCATCGAGCAGCAGATGCTCAGCAACCTCCACGTCTTGGAGACCACCGTCAACATACGCTATGAGCTTCAAGAGAAAAAGCTGGCGTCCAGCAACCCCACGGTAGGTCGTAGGACTGGGTGATAGTCTCTGCGAGTGTATCCACACATGTATGCATGTACTGTTGTGGACGTTGAAATCCGTTGAGAAGTCAAGCAGTCACGGGACGCTGGCCTTGCAGCCGTCAACACTGCTGGTGCTTTTTTAGTTAACAGTGTGTAGGTGAACTACAGTGCATGTGCGCGCTAAGGCAGTAAGGATGACTGTTGTATGTAGGCCTTGTCCCTGGCCGCTTCTTACTTTGTAGTTTCCATGCTTCTGTGGGTGTGTGTGTGTGTGTGTGTGTGTGTGTGTGTGTGCGTGCGTGCGTGTGTGTGTGTGTGTCGTCCTCTTCTGTACAGCATCTTGCCAACTTGACTAAGATGATGGCATCGTGGGCACCGCCGATCCTCACACCCAAAGCGTGTGACGATGTGGTCTTGCTACAGCGGTAGGTTCACAGTAGGCTCACAGCCATGCACCGGTCTGGGCTGCACGCGTGTCTCACACTGTTGCAACCATGGACAACGTCGTTGTGCACTGTCAGTGGCTTGACTATTGACGCTATCTTTCTTTTCAAGTTTGAGCTATCAAAGCATGTCATGATGATGCCACCTTGAACTGAAAGCTTGAAGTATGGCTCTGAATCAAGTTGCTGCCCCAGTTTTACTTGATTTCATTGGAAAGCTGCATGATTTCTTTGTTGTGTACTGGTTTTTGTCCCTACTCTGCTACAGATGAAGGGTTTGCTTCAGGGGCATACCGGTTTTTTTTTACACTTATTCCAATGTATTGGTCATACCCGATGCCACAAGCAGCCATAGACAGCCCCTTAGTGATGGTTTGTAGTTTACTGCTTGGGCATGTATCCTATGACATCGCCGCCAGTTTGACGAAGCCCATGGCTTCTGGACAGCCCGAAAGCCTAGCCGTACAATAGACGTGACTGTGCTTGTGTGTGTGTGTGTGTGTGTGTGTGTGTGTGTGTGCGTGCGTGCGTGTGTGTGTTGTTTCTATAGACTGGACCAGATGGGTCTGTCTTCCGAAGGCTACACAGAGGTCATTGTGTCGCATATCAACTCACCCTCTGATTTCTATGTTCAACAGAAGAAGTCTACTGGTCTGTAAGTCAGAAGCGCGCATACGCATGCTTTATCACTGGACGCATGTCTGTCTTTTGCCTGCCAGCACTGAGTGTGTGTTTTTGCGCTCATGACTTCCCAGTCAAAATCAATCTCCACACTTATAGTGTCCACAAGTGAACAATGTATTGCCACTTTCAAGTGTTGTGTGTTGTTGTCGTCGTCGTCGTTGTTGTTGTCGTTGTTGTTGTTGTTGTTGTTGTTGTTGTTGTTGTTGTTGTTGTCGTCGTCGTCGTCGTCGTTGTTGTTGTCTCTCTTCCTATTGTCTTATGTTCTACATGTTTAGGCTAGAGGACCTACAGGATTGGATTCACTATGAATCGGGTAACCCAGCTGATCGACCTGCAGCTCCGGAGAAGCTGCATGTCGGTGGCTTTGTACTGTGCCATGCCTCTGCCGATGACAAGTAAGAATGTGTTGTGGTTGGTGCTGATACTCTTTGCTAACACTGAATGCACAGTCTATGTTTGGCAACCACCCATGCAGCTGTACAGAAGTAGGTCTCTAGGTACAGGTGGTTTTAGTGAACAGGTCTGCATGCTAGTTTATATCATCTGATGATCACAGAGTGCGTGAAACTTCATTACCAGTAGTAAAGTTACAGCAAAACAACCTACCATCTGATGTATTCAAGTTGTGTATACCGCCGCTGTGCACTCAGGTGTATGGAGCACTCTTTCGAGCTTCTCCGGCCGGCTATGATTGTGCTACATGTAGTTCACTTTCTAGGTCATGTGTCTCCCTCTGCTGCTTGGGACTCTCACATATTATCTTGATGTCCTTGATACATCTTTGTTGCTGCTGCTGCCGCCGCCGCTGCTGCTATTTGTCGTTGCTGTCGTTCACGGTTGTCATCGCCGTGTGCAGCTGGTACAGAGCAAAGGTCATCTTGCGTCAGGGCGAGCAGTACTCAGTGCAGTACGTGGACTTTGGCAACAAGGAATGGCGAAGCAGCGAACACCTGAGGCCACTGTTGCGTGAGCCACAGAGTGAGGTCAGTCTTGTTGTCTTGTACTTGTACTTGTAATGTGATTCACACAAACATCACGAAAGTGTACCCAGGAAACAGGAAAGTTGTGTTGTGGCTAGAACATACACATGTATGTGCTGAACAATATAGCCTACTTTTAGCCTGTTGAGCAGAAGGTGCTCGGCGAAACGTTTGCAAGCCTGTTACTGGGTGTATCGTGTTTAGTTTGCAGTTCTCCTGCGGGCAGGCATAGTGGGATGGTCTAGGACCATGATTGAGAAACAGAGGGTACTAGGTTCAAGTCCTGCTTGGAAGTGGAAGGATTTTTTTCCAGCCGTGCTACGACCTACAGTTAGGCCTCGGTCACACTACGGCAAAAATGCTGCGTCGGCGTCAGAATCATGACCTTTTCCATGGCAACTGACGCAAGCGCGGGAAATTTGAGCGTCAGACGCTGCTGCGTCTGACATGGAGAAATCGGCTGCGTTGCCGCTGATGGGAGTGACGCTTGGCGGAAAAACAGTGTCTTTCAAGACAGTTGCTTGAGTTGAGTAGTCATTCGACATTCGTCTCTTCACGGTTTGTTTGGTTCCCTCTTTTTTTCGAGATGAGTCCGTGGACCAACTAGGCCGAGGCTGCTCTGCTCCGAACCTGGCGGAAGAGCGAGGCTTTTCTGAGAAGAAAATGATGTCGGAAAAGGACAGTACATGTAGTATGAAAGGGTCATCGGCCAACTGGAGCCTGTTGACTTGTGAGTGTTGTTGTCGCCAAGAGCCCAAAAAAGGATAACCAGTATGACGAAGTCAGGAGAAACACAGCTACAATGCGGACTTTTCTTGCCCGATCCATGACACTACAACTGAAAAGGGCTTCCCGAAAGAAACAGCAATGATAGTGCATGCGCGTTGACCTTTCGTCTTCTTGTAATATTGTATTATTGAAAAATCAATGAAAAATTTGAAAACTTTGTCCGACAATTTTTTGCGTAATAACAGCAGGCCGGTTTCCGTGGGAATCCGTGTCATTGAGTTTCCCTGGTGATTTTGTGACGTAGACAAATGCGTCAGGCCGCGGCAGTCATGAGCTGCAAAAAAACAAAACACTGTGTGACCCCGCGTCTGCGTCAAGTGCTGCGGCTTGACGCTGCGTCCAGCTTCAAACTTGCCATAGTGTGACCGAGGCCTTAATTGGGAACTCATGGCCTGGCACGAGGAAAACATGGATGCAGTGAATGATTATCGGTCTTTGACCGCTTGCTGGTGAGCTGATCTACTCACCTCCCACCGCTTTAGGAGCTGCATCTGCACCTTGATCCTTGAAGGGTGGTGGCATTCCTACGGATGCGGAAAACTCGGCCTCTAGCCAAGTCTGACGCGAACCGTGAAACTTTTTTTGTTTTCTCCTGCGGTGAACTACATGTACAATGTACAGTACTAATCTAGACCGTTCTTATTTTCATGTATTACAGTCTATGGGCAGTTGAGTCCCCTTGTATACATTGGTATGCTGTGCTTGATGAAATTCTACCCTGGCCGTTCTTCGGCGCCCGACGTTACTGCAGTCGTTCTGTTACTGAAGCGTGCGTCGTGCTTTTCTGTGTGTGTTCCCAGCTACCAGCGCAAGCCATTCACTGTTCCCTGGCGGACATTTTGCCAGCCGGTGAGTATAGTTGGTCTTCAGTTGTGATTTCTTGTTCACGTCTTTGAGAGTCCTTGTCTGTGCTCTGCTCAATGCTGGATACACGATTTGAATCATGTGAAGTTGGAGAAGGATTCCTGCTTTTCTGATTGTTGTACCCTTTGTTGAATTGCTGGGTACAGGTGATGAATGGATCAAGAGCGACCAGGACGAGCTGGATAATTTGGTACAGGACAAGGAGCTGTTAGCCAAGGTGAGGGTGAATGGATGTGTTTATTTAGCAGCAAATAAGTGACTAAACAGGTCTGCGTGTGTGTGTGTGTGTGCGTGCGTGAGAGAGAGAGAGAGAGAGAGAGAGAGAGAGAGAGAGAGAGAGAGAGAGAGAGAGAGAGAGAGAGAGAGAGAGAGAGAGAGAGAGAGAGAGAGAGAGAGAGAGAGAGAGAGAGAGAGAGGAGAGAGAGAGGAGAGAGAGAGGAGAGAGAGAGGAGAGAGAGAGAGAGAGAGAGAGAGAGAGAGAGAGAGAGAGAGAGAGAGAGAGAGAGAGAGAGAGAGAGAGAGAGAGAGAGAGAGAGAGAGAGAGAGAGAGAGAGAGGAAGGGGAGAGGGAGAGAGGGAGGGAGAATGAGTGAATGAGTGAGTGAGTGAATGATTGAGACTGGCAGAACAAGGTGGGTGGATCAGTTTTCCCGCTGTAGTCGTAAGGTCATATTCGATTTAGCCCTGCTAAGTCTCTGCTGGTTGCTTCTTGCAATTGTAAACCAATGCTATTTTTTCACTCTGCCTAACTGTATGCATGCATTGCAGGTCAGAGAGGTTTCTAATCAAGATAGCAATGTGGCAACATTTGTGGTGGAGCTGTACGACACCTCATCTGGCCAAGATGTGTTAGTCGCCGCTGAGCTCTCTAAATCTGGGCACGGAAAACTCTTGCCATCAGCTTTGAGCTTTTTGGTAAGTTGAGGAAACCTCATTGCTGCAATATTAGTGCAAAAGCGATTACATTTATCTTAGTAGCTTAGCTGATACCTTAACGATCGGCTCATTTCAAGTTTCTACCTTATGTCGAGGTTAACGTACAAAACGAGAGTTATTATTAGATTTGACCTTTAGTGGGTTTATCTATTGCATGTGTTAAGTTACCTGGTCAACTCTGGGAGCTGGCGCGTATTGTGTGACAACGAAGATTGGAAGTGTTGTGGAACGTCAGTACAAACGTTATACTGATGACTATTATTTTACCACAGTTGCATTGCTTGCTTCTATAACTACTTTGCGTCGAATGTACTTCTGGTGTACGTGTCCATGTGTTCAGATTCCTGAGAGTGTAACCGTGGCAGAGTATGCCGGACAGCTTGGTGATGTAAGTACATGTACACCGGCTTGTCTCACTCACTGGTTGAGTGGTGGCGTTCCCACGCATGCCGAAACCCATTCTAACTGAGTTTAACAAGAACCGTGAATTTTTGTTTTGTTTCATCAACCCTTTCAGGGTCACAGTGCATTTACTACGTCTGGGCACTGAAATTCAGTGCATCCGTACAATTGTGGAGATCGCAACAAACAAATTGTCACAACATATTTGTTTCTCAACGGATTTTCACAACTTATGGCTTACTGGAAAGCTCCTTCCCTGCTCGTCATCTTCCACGTACTTGTCACAGCATACAGCACCTCCAGGACGCCCCTAGCCTCGCCAACAGTGTCCCTGTCATGCTCCAGTTTGGCATCAAGATACCCATGCTGGGGGTGTCACACCTCAATCTCATCATGAGGTGAAAGCTTTGTATGAGTTTCATTCTGTTCTGCTTGTTCTCTAGGTTGCGGTCACAAAGCTGACTGATTTCTGCCGCTGCCTACTCCACTACAAGGTACACATACTACTATCTCTCTTTCTCTCTCTCTGTCTCTCTCTCTCTCCCTCTCTCTCTTTCTCTCTCTTTCTCTCTCTCTTTCTCTCTCTCTCTCTCTCTCTCTCTCTCTCTCTCTCTCTCTCTCTCTCTCTCTCTCTCTCTCTCTCTCTCTCTCTCTCTCTCTCTCTCTCTCTCTCTCTCTCTCTCTCTCTCTCTCTCTCTCTCTCTCTCTCTCTCTCTCTCTCTCTCTCTCTCTCTCTCTCTCTCTCTCTCTCTCTCTCTCTCTCTCTCTCTCTCTCTCTCTCTCTCTCTCTCTCTCTCTCTCTCTCTCTCTCTCTCTCTCTCTCTCTCTCTCTCTCTCTCTCTCTCTCTCTCTCTCTCTCTCTCTCTCTCTCCTCTAGTCCAGGCGCTGCTTTGTTCATGTGTTCACTTGGTCTTAAGTCTTAACGGTAAAGATAAGAGTGCTTGTTACTTAATGGAGTGACCTGTTTGGTAGCCATACTAGCTCACTGCTGACGGTTTGCGATATCTAGCACAGCTGCTGTTTGCTTGCCGCCTTTTAGAAAGAGGCCGTCTTCGCCTCTGAGTCTCTGACCCGCCGAGTCCACAAGAAAACTACTGGTATTCTGTTGTTTCTTCTGGAATGTTGGGCGACAGTTTGGGACATTATAGAACCACTTCAAGAGGCCGGGTTGCTAGGCTTTTGAGAGCTGCAACTGTGTGAGATTATCATTTTCATAAACGTCATCACAACAGTTGACACGGGGAGTACATTCTCATGTTGGCAAGTGTGACCTGTTGCTGGTGGATTTCGTCTGTGGAGCGTTCTCCCAAGGAATGACTACCGCTTGTTCTGCTCTTATTCATGCCACCTATATGTTTTCATAGTAAATAAGTTAAAATAACATAATATTCTGCAAGCTCATCTGATTCTGTCTGCATGTGCGTGTGGGTTTTTTTTTGTGCCATACAAGGACCAAGATATGTTGTTGGAGCTAGCCTCAGTTGTGCATGCCCTTGTGCGAGACAATGACAAGTAAGTGAAGGCAATTCATCGGAAATATTCTTCGAATGAGAGTGCGTTTGTTGTGCTATACTTGTGTTCAGTTGCAAGAATATGCGACCTTATTCTTGGACATGTATTTAGCCCCTCTGCCAGGCTCTGGCAGGCTCTGGCTGGAGAACTTTTGTTTATTTTGTCCCTTTTTGGCGTTCTCATTGTGTACAATGTACACATCGAGTGTCCGAGTTCAGAAGGCAAGCGTGCACCGTACATCGAACAGTTGGCTCGATCAACCAGTTGGCTCGATCAACCAGCACACGGGCTGGACTTCGTTTTTGACGATGAAAGTACGCGTGGAGGTCAAGTCCGACGTGACGTCACTCGGTACTTCGGGACAAATTTGCGCACCTTCTTTTCAAGTTTTCACCCACTTCCAGTCATCGCAGAGAAAAACGAATACCACCATCGTGATCAGGAGCCAAAGAACTACAAGATAAGGGGCCGTCCGGGGTTACCAATAGTTTTTGCGAAACGAAAAGCTTTAGTATTTTTCGGCACCCACCCACCTACCTTTTCTGCAGGTAAAACGAATTCCAATAAAATATTGATGTCAATTTTCGACACCCAGAAGTAACTGGGCATTCTCCATCTGCATTCAATAATTATTTTCAAAACGAAACTGCTTCAAACCCACCCACCCCCAAACAAAAACTTTTCGTTTTGAAAATACTACTTCCTCCGCGTCATCGAAATTGTCGCAGTTTGACTAGTGAAATCTCACTTGTTACTGACAACTCCATAAACTACGCCATTCGGAACTTATTACACAGTATGATAGTCTGAAGACTAGAGTAACGTTCCAGGACAATTGGACTGAGAGTTTTCATACAGAGATGAAGTCCTCGTCGTCGCTGATGTCTATGGACGCAAAAATATCGTTCTGAAATATTTCAAGGAAGGTTGAAAGTTGGTCGCGCCTCATCTCAAACGCTTTGACTTTCTCCACAGGACAAGAGCTGCTATGCTTGTCGTTTGCTAGCTCTGGATGATTTCTACTTCACCACCAACGAAGCCTAGTAAGAATACACGATCATTGCGAGGTCAGTTGATTACCGTCGGCGGAATCACCTTTGGAATCACCTCGATCTTGAAATGAACTTTTTTTAGCCGTGGCATGCCCACAGCTCATGCAGGTAAGTGTAGTATCACGTCCAGCGCGCCCTCTTTTTCAGCACTGGTATACCATGGTACGGCACCTGCGCGTGCATCACTAGCACTACGTGTAGAGTCTACACGGCTCTTGCAGGTACAATCATGTATTGTAGTGCTGAGTGTCTCAGCCAGAGCGACAAATTTTATCGCTGTTGCAGGCATTTAGTTTGCCGACCCCTCGATGTTTCTCCAAGCGCTGCCACTTGTTCCAAGAAGTCATTCTCATCTCAGCTAAGGTAAAACAGTGATCGGGCTTGAGTGAATGGCCATAAGCACGAGAAATGTGCAGGCTGCAACGCCTGACTGATCTCAGCGAGTCGAAATTACCAGCGCAGCGACATCAGCGAAGAAATTGCGTCTAGTTCAAAAATTCCAGCTTCCAATTACAGAAAATAGAACTTTGCCGTCACCCTATACTGATGACTATCGCCTATGTCCGATTCCTTGCCTCTGGTACGAGTGCTGGTGAGTAAATACCGCATTTTACATCAAAAGTCAAACTGCGACAATTTCGATGACGCGGAGGAAGTATTGGTAACCTTGGACGGCCCCTAAGACAAAGAAAAATTTTGGTGACAGTTCCCCTTTAACACAGGGAACAGGGCTGACTGTACTTGATCTGCTCTAGAACCACAATATTTGTAACCTGGGGGTTTAGCTCAGTGGTAGAGCGCTCGCTTTGCATGCGAGAGGCCATGGGTTCGAACCCCATATCCTCCATTTTTTCATTTTTTTTGTTTGTCTAAATCCCTGTGTGATCCCGGCCTGATTTCTTTTTTGCTTTGTTGTCTTTGACTAGGTATCGCCCTGAGTTCCTGAAGACTACAGGGCTGAATCTGTTATGCCGTGCTCTGGAGGTGGTCGAGACGGACGCCATCAGGGAACATCTTGCTGGAGTGCTCTCGTTGTTGATTGACTGCGGCCATGGGTAAGGTCATGTGCAGGTAGCCTGCTGGCTTCACCAGGGAGAGTACTGCATTGCAGTTTGTATGTTGGTGTCATCTTCTGGTGTTGTGCTAGATAGTTCAGGTCGTGGTGGTATCCACTACTAACTGTTACTATCCAGTATTCACTGGTCACCATTTCTTTTTCAGAGCGATGTCGTGTAGCGGGTTCCCCCCCCCCCCTCCCATGTTGTGATTTGATCTGATGGAAAAAAATATTTGCAGTGATCTCCGCTGACTGCTGCTGCCTGTTTGTATTTGTAATAACTGTTATGTGGAGACTCGACTCCAGCCACTATGTGGAGACTCGACTCCAGCCACTTAGGTCTCTATCCACCATGCACACGCTACACAGCACCACCATGGTTGGTCAGTACGTTTAACTACTATGCTACCAATGTTTCTGTTTTCTTTCTGCAGGGTGTGTGAGTCAATAGCCCGCTTCCATGGGATCAAGGCAATGTGTCAGTTCCTATCACCAGTGAGTGGGCTTTTCATTTTTTGTTTGACTTCCTCTAGACAAGGCTCAGTGCATTGTCTATTCTCCTGCCATTTTATGTGTTGTACATACAGTATTTGTTTTGAATGCAACATATTTTGCCCCTTTTTCCGTTTACGCATACACACCTTGCTGCATACTGTGTTAGCTAGGCTTGTCTTGGGGTTCTCGGTCGTTGGTCACTTGTGTGTGGTGGGTCTTGTCTACTCACCTTCCACCACTTCAGGAGCGGCATCTGCGCCTTGATCCTTGAGGGTGGTGGTGTTCCTGCGGATGTGGAAATCCAATCTGACTGAGTCTCGCGCGGGCCGTGGAATTCTTTGTTAAAAACGTTTTCCTCCACTATGTGGCTATGTCTGGACATCTATCAGGTCTCTCTCTCTCTCTCTCTCTCTCTCTCTCTCTCTCTCTCTCTCTCTCTCCACTACTGCGTGCAATTGTTACGCTTGATATGTGATTTGTTCTTGTTTCCCTCCCTTGTTTGCGTGCTCCCCTCCAGCTTTCAGAGCCATCGCTTATAGTCGTATGTTGCTCTGTCTTGAGGAAACTGGCTGCAACGTCTCAGATGTAAGTCTGAATAGCATGTGCATGTATATGCTGCCTGTGGTTGACATTTTGGTGTTGCGGATTTTGTATTGCCTTCTCTCACCTGGCATGGTCAGTCTAACTTTTAGTCGATATCATGTAATTGCGGCAGACAAATTTTCCTCTTTGTTCGTCGGCTCTAAAGAAAACAAATAACAACAGCTTTACATGTGCATATCTGCACTGTGCATGTGAGTAGTGCTATTACTTCTAAATCATGGAGGTTTGAATGTTTGTTTTGTGTGCTTGTCTGCCTGTGTGTGTGTGTGTGTGTGTGTGTGTGTTCACGTGTGTGTTCACGTGTGTGTTCACGTGTGTGTGTTTGTGTGTGTGTGTGTGTGTGTGTGTGTGTGTGTGTGTGTGTGTGTGTGTGGTGGGGTGTGTTCACGTGTGTTCACGTGTGTTCACGTGTGGGTGGCTGCATGGACACATGCGTGTATGTGTGCATATGTATGAACAAACTATGCAGTGTGCGTGATGCAGTCCGTGACGATGGTGGCGTTCGAGTACTTTGTCAGCTCCTGTCACAGGCATGTCAGGATCCACAGGTCAGTCGCAGTACAGTGTTTGACATGGCGATGGCTATGGTGATGTATCATTTTACCTGATTTTGGACCCATCATTTGGACCATCCATGAGAATATAAATTTTTGTTTAATCCTGCTTGTTTAAAGTCTGTGAAATAGCCATCCTGACTTCATTTTAGCCCCCGCACTAGAACGTGTTTAGTGATTTTATGTTCTGCTGGTACCTAGTGCTGACTAAGACAACTGTTGCAGTGGCTACAACCATTTCTTGGGTTAGATGTGACAACAGTTACGAAACATCACTACTCAGACTGGTGCCTTTGTTGTGCCAGGAGATGTTTGTCTCCATCTGATGTGTTGGGAGTTGTCCGTCCAAAAACTATCCTAGAAAGTTGAAGCTGATGGAAAATTGAAATACTGATAGCTAAATTCTATCGATTTTGTGATCGGTTTGTTCTAATCCAGTAGAATTGCTTTAGCCCTACAAAGTACAACTGATATAATGTCATGCTATGCTTTGTCCTGTACTTGCTCCTCTTCAGGTTGTGGAAGCAATAGTATCAGCCATGATAGCTTTTGCTGGTGACAGTACACGGTAAGACAAGATGTCTGGTATCAGACTATCAGCCCTATGTTGCACACTTGCCAGGCAATATGAAACCTGATACTGATGGTGTTTACTTCTATGCCGTCGCTCTACATACCTTCCTTTCAAGGTTGCACGATCATAATTTTATCTACAGTTCAGTCCTTGTGCATTTTTCTTATTACAATAGTATTTTGATTGTATACCGTATTGTTAGGTGTCCTCTCCCGTGCATTGGCAGGAGATTCTTGTTGCATCCTCTCTCCCAAAACGATGCTGTGAATATGTTGTGTTCGTGTTTGAACATTGAGCATAAGTGCATTGCTCTTTGCCACTGTATGTATTCCAAGTTGATACTGGGTCCATCATATCCCTGTTCTTTGCCGTCTCTCTTTTCTCCTAGAAATTGCGAGGCTCTTCGTAACGAGGGCGTTGTGCAGGCAGCCGGCAGTATCTTCAGCCAGGAGACCAGCGTGCGGTCTCACGAGCAAGCGTCGCGCTGCCTAGAGGTCATCGCCACCCACTGTCCACGGTCAGTTGCCCTTGCCTGCGTGTCATCAACCTCTTTACTGTGTTTGTTTGCAGTCTGTTTGTGACACGGCTGTATTGTTGTCGATTACCAAGTCCCTATAGCTGTGGTGTGTCTGGCTGTATCAGCACTGAGCAGGATGATCCACTTCTCTTGGATGACCTAACAATCAAGTGACAGTGACTGGATCCTTTTTCCCTCGAAATTCAAGCTCCTAGCCTGATCACTTGACAGTTATCGTATTCCCACGTGTGAAAGTTTGGGAAACCATGCGGGTTTACTTGCTGTATGCTTGTGCTTTTATAGCCATGGCCTTATATTCCAAACACTGCTGCTTTCCTAGCTATTTTAGGTGTGAAACGACTCGCCCACTACGCCATGAAAGTCAATGTCCACACCGAAATCTCAATCGAAATCCACTTGTTTACCCTTTCTGCTGGACTGGCAGTTTGTTAGTCTAGTTTTATGCCTTCACTTTTTACGCAACGTGCTTCAAATGTTATCTCATTTATGAAGCCATGGTTTTATAATTGAATCTACCGCC